TAAATCCAAGTTAGTTAACATATAGTGTAATAATGATTTCAGGAGTAGAATTTAGTGATTCATCACTTACACATAACACCCTGTGCTCATCCCAACAAGTGCCCTGCTTAATGCCCATCACCCATTTAGCCCATCCCCCCCACCCAACACCCCGCCAGCAACCCTCAGTTTGTTCTCTGTATTTAAGAGTCTCTTGTGGTTTGCCTCCTTCAAAACGATCTCCTCTTATAAGGACACCAGGCGTATTGAGTTAGGGCCCAGCCTAATGATCCCACTCTAACTTAATACCTCTTGAAGGCACTACTTCCAAAATAAGGTCACATTCGGAGATACTAGGAGGGTTTCAACATATGCATTTGGGGAAGATGTAATTCAGCCTGTAACATCTGGCCATCCTAAAATGTTAAAATCAGACAGGAAAGGACCTTATTTCAACCCTTGACAGCCTTCGATTACAAAATCCTAAAATGTGTCTATCTTACATGGCATTTCATATTTTACTTTGGGGTTCCAAATCATTCTCTACACAAGGACATTTGCAGAAACTGAAGGAACAAACACAGATTCATTTCTTAATTTACTTCTACTTGCTAAGGTAGGATTAGTATCCTGAGAAGGATAAAAAAAAAAAAAAAAAAAACAGCAAAATACTCCCTGTTTTTACTAAGTGTGAGTCCTCTGTTCAGCTTACCTTTGTGACTTTTGAAACCAGGAAGCTTCTTGGAAGATACACTAAAGGATTTAAAATTTAGAACTTTAAAAAAAAAAAATCACTCATTCACAGGGCGTCTGGGTGGCTCAGTCGGTTAAGTGTCTGACTTCACCTCAGGTCATGATCTCACTGTTCGTGAGTTTGATCCCCGCATCGGGCTCTGTGCTGAAGGCTCAGAGCCTGGAGCCTGCTTCGGATTCTCTGTCTCCCTCTCTCTGCCCCTCCGTTGCTCACACTCTTTCTCTCTCAAAAATAAATAAGCATTAAAAAAAATTTTTTTTTTAAATCACTCATTCCTTGGAAGCCACATCATGGCAAATATATGTCATGTTTTGAACTACAAATAATTGGATACCTTCCTAACAGGCTTAACTGTGAAGGAGAATTCTTATCTAACATGAAGCCCAGTAGCTAGAAGTTCCAGTTTGGTGAGTTCAGTACCAAAACGAAGGTGGAACTCAGGGCTTGTCGTCTCCCCTCTGAGGTATCAGAAGTTGGTTTCTGTCCTCTGCTGGTTGCCAGGTTGACACCAGTCATCACCTCCTTTCACAAGTGTGCTCAGAGCCTGGAAGGGAAGCCTTTATCCTCCTGAATCTCTTTTTATCAAGGAAGAAAGCTTTGCCCAGAATATGCTACCTCAAAATACAACTGTAGAAGTCCGGGACGTGTCACCCCAAATCTGCTACTTTGGTACATTGATTGTTTTGAGTTATAAGCACTTGAAAAAGAGCAAATGCAGGGAGAGGATTTCTCTGAACTCCCTTTTCAGTCTAAAGACACATGGTCCAAAAGGAACTCAATTGTTTTAAATTTCCTCTTGAGGAGTTTCAACAACCATGAAAAATTGGTAAAATTGGACACCACACCCAGACAGACTTTGTCACAAACTACCATACCTCCCATCTATTCTTCTAAATGTCCATTTGTCTTTCCTAAAAATGATTTACTTTCCCCTAAGAGGCCTACATTCCTCCTCTTTGCTGATTAAAATGGTATTTCAGTCTGAATCTTAAGCCATCTCAGGGAGTTACTCATGTTCCCCTAGTTATTTTCCATGTATACATGAGGTATACATACTAATCAACACTTGTCTATCTTTCCATGTTGTTTATTACAGGGGTCTCAGCCAAGAACTCAGAAGGGTGGAAGGAAATTATTTTTCCTTCCCTGTAGTCCCAACCTCCCCTAAGGCATCCCTGGTACAGAGAAGTAGAATTTACTCCATTGCTTTTCACACAAATACACAACAGAAATGGTCATATGCCAGAGAGAAGTGCTTCCTAATTTTCTTACAAGAGCAACATCCACTTCAGCAGGAGTGGAATTTATTTGCATTTCACCTGAATCTTTGAGAGAACTTGAGTTTGTCAGCATTATTCTGTTTTAGTGCCTTGTTTCAATTATCTAGTGCTGAAAACATGGCTTAAAAGTAGTATTAATTTCTTTTGCTGACTGATCTTGGGCTGAGTGGACTCAGCTAAGCAGTCCTTACTTGGCTCTCTGTGCAGCTGCGGTCAGGCAGCAGGGGCAAGGGTCACCCTGAAGCTTTCACACGTAGCTGGCACTTGGGCTGAAGTCACTCAAACAGCTATGAGTAGAACAGCTGGGGCTCCTTGGTCATGTCTCCATGTTTCTCTCTGGGAGACCTCCCCACATGGTGACCTTAGGGGGACATTTTGCACAGCAGGGGAGGCTCCATATGCAAGTGTACCAAGAGGAACGATCAGAAGCTGCATAGAATTTTCTAACCTAGCTTTGGAAGTCACACAGTATCGCTTTGGCCACATTTATTCGTCAAGGCAGCCACAAGACCACCCAGATTCAAGAGGTGGTCTTGAAAGGAGAAGTCTCAAAGAATTGGTGGACATATTTTAAATACCACCACACACCCCTTCAAGATTGGCCCTCCCATCATCTATTCAGCTGGACCACCCTCAGTTTACCTGTGAGTCCACAGAACCTGCTTTCCATGGCCATCTGCACCTCTAGGCCCTCATCTCTCATCACTATCCTTGTGGACAGTTCCCACTTTCATTTCACACACCTCCCTTTGCAGGATGGACTGTTTAGAGAGTAAGGTCTTTGTGAAAAGGAACCAGGATTTCTGGTTATCCATGGCTAAGACAAAGACTCTCATAACCAGTGTTTCAAGTTAAATTTTAGTCCTTATTTCCTCTCATGCTTTTTGGTTTCCAAAGAAGGAAAATGCAGAGACAGCCAACTAGCAGTGGGGAAAGCTCTCCTATGCCAGCGAGGCCCAAGCCTACCAGCAGTCAGTGGATATAAACACAGAAACAAAAAGCAGCCGGGGTAGTGTGGAAGGAAATGGCTGCCTGTCCTCCTAACCCTCTGAAGGTGGACTGCTTGTATACAGCTTTGCCCACCTGAGCAGAAAAGATGAGCATCTGGAATCTTAGCTTTCTCCCTTGAATGCCTCTCCACTCAGTATCAGTCAAGCTGACCAACTTTTCCTTGAATAAAAAATTCGAGTGAGAGCCTGAAGTAATGAGTATTCTTCAAAAACAATTTCACCAAGACATATTGAATGAAATTTCCAGTGGCAGCTTAACCATTTTAGGAAGAAAAGAACCTTATATAATTTATGCATGTTGGTAAAAGGAAAGGAAAGAAATTCCGTGATGCTCAATCTAGGACATAGAGTCCATTATGTGGAAATAAATTCCTCAAGACCCCAAATGTCTTTGGTTCAGTCTTAATTTATATTAAAGTTACCTTGTTTGTTCATTTGTTTGTTTTGTTTTGTTTTAAGCAGGAAACATTGAGGGATGTGTTAGGAAGCTGTTTTGGTGAGCACATTTAAGAATGCAAACCACAAGATTTACAACTGGCTTTGTTTGGATAAAATAGAACTGAGCATATATACTTGTCAGTTACCATAAAATGTAAGTAAAACTTACAGTTACTCTCTATTTTGTCATTACAAAATTGAGTTTCTGTGTAACTGACTATGAGGAGGAAAGAGTTTTCCTATAATTTTTAAAAAATTATCTTACTAGTTTTTAGGACTTCTACTTGTAACCTTTAGGTTATAAATATTTGTTTTGAGAAACTGCATTCGTTAAAGTGTTGTAGGGAACTGTTCATGGAGAGTTATAAACTCTGCCAAAAAGGTTGATTTTATCCACCAATCTTGAACTACTGGTTCACTACTTTTTGACCTTGTTCAGTAGTAAAACAAAAACACTATGAACAGTTTCTTAAAATTACGAACATTGCCAAAAGCATTCTTATTTACAAAAACCATATTGCAAAATAACTTTAATAGGCCAACTTTAAAACACGGTGTAGAATCCTGATTTGTCATAACCTGAGCATGGAGCCCTGGTGAGATGCCCTTTGATTTCCTGACATTCCACCTAATAGATGTCAAACTCTGAATAAGAAGCATATTTGGAGGATTTGGGGAGAATCAATGTCAAAAGAAAAAATGGGTATGGAAACCTCAGAAAGATGGTATAAAGTGAAGAGATAAATATAGGGAGTTAAATTGTGAAATGTCATGATCCTATTTTTTTTTTTTTGACAGCATAAAACTCACATCAAGATTAAAACTGAAAACAAAGGAAATTCGTGTCTCATAGAAGGTTCCTAACCACCCTGTCAAAGGGTGCTCCCCAGTTCCAACCCCAAGCATTGTAGTTACACCGAAGTTTAAGTTTATGGGTGTTAATAATATTTGATTAAAAAAAAAAAACGACCGGATTGACAAAAGAAAAATGGGGAGGAGGAACACTGTTTTAGCTTAATAACAGTGTTATTATATTAGGACATAACAAACAGATACAGGATACGGTCTTTGGTAACAGCCTGACTTGAAAAAACATATAAAAACATTTTGGGGTCACTTGAGGCAATTGAAGATAGCCAGTATATTAGGAAATAATTAGGAGTGATAATGGCACCATGTGATATAGGATTATATGCTGACATATTTTGGAGTGAAACTTCATATAGTCTACAATTTAAAATGGTTTGGTGAAAAAATACATAGATGAAGTGTATGTGGTAAGACAACAATTGGGTATAAAAGTGTTGAGTATACTCTTTCTTCCCATTTTCTTTATGTATGAAAAATTTCAAATTAAAGTTTTTAAAGTACATGGATGTTACTCCTGTCCCCAGATTTTTTTAATTCTTAAAATAAGAAGGAAATGTGTGTTAAATTTGGCTTAAGAAGATGGGACCTGTAAGTTCAAAGAGCTAGCAAATATAGCCAGAGTGCTGTTGTTCAGATGTGAAGGTCCTCACCATTGAAACAAGTCTAGAAATGTTGCATCACCCTTTGATTTCTGTGGACAGTCTTATGCCAGCTATGCTTGAATTTCGGGCTAAAAGGTAAAGTGTTGTTACCCCAGGAGCCAACCAAGTCCACCAGAGATCAAAAGGGTGCACTCTCAACATGGATGGAGCTAGAGGCTAAGTGAAATAAATCGGTCAGAGAAAGACAAATACCATATGATTTCACTCATATGTGGAATTTAAGAAACAAAACAAACAAAAGAGGAAAAAAAGACAAGCCAAGAAATAAACTCTTAACTATAGAAAACAAAATGATGCTTACCAGAGGCAAGGTGGATGGGAGAATGGGTGACATAGGTGAAAGGGATTAAGGGGCACGCTTCTCATGATGAACACTGAGTAATGTATAGAATTACTGGATCACTATATGGTACACCTAAAACGAATATAAGACTGTACGTTCACAACACTGGAATTAAAATTAAATAAACATATAGATAATAAATAAATAAATAAATAAATAAATGTGTTGGACTCTATTGGTTTCAGTGTTTCTGTCTCTCAAACTAAATGAAATAAGTGGTCAGAATAAGCCTCTGTGTTATGATGTAGCAATAATAACAATGAATAACACTATAAATAATAATAATAATAATAATAATAATAATGCCTAACATTTCTTAACCACTCAGGGAAAGGCACCATAAATTGGTTTGGACATTACAGATGATGCTTCAATATTATGATAGATAAAGCATGTTGCACACACTGAGCTATGTGGTCATTATGAATAGTCTTTCCTTAAGCCAGGTGTTCAACAGAAATTTATTAAAGTCTTTCATAGCATCTAAATGGGCAAACTCCCAAGGTTAAGCACTATTGGCCAACTGTATAGGGGTTATATGGGCAGCTGGGACACCCTTCCCTCCTTATACCTTTTTATCCTCTAACTCCTGCCTGTCCTGACTTCATCCTTCTGCCTTCCAGAAGGACTTCCTCCATTCCAAGCTGGCTGAGGCTGTCTACATACTCTCTTACTCCACTTGTAGCCCTTATTATACATCTAATCCTTTGAGCCACTCCACACAGTTCAAGACCAACATGTTCAGATCTCTATTAATTTTTTTTCATATCTCTACTGATTCATCAACTTATCCCTCCTGCCCTCACTAGCCAGAAATACTGTGTCTTCCTTCTGGGAACCTCCTTTATGCACAAATGCTCAGGAACAGAAGGAATTAACACAGTCTGAAGAAAGGAGTGGGGGTGTTCTTCAGTCTGGCCTCCCCATCCAGAAACTAGAGTGAGTCAATCCCTGAGGGCTGTGGCTTCTCATAGACATCTGGAGCCACCAGCTCAGCTCCCAGGGTTATTAGGAGGATCAAATGACTTAAAGTAGGTGGCAAAACTCCACAAAGAAATAACTATGGCTATGTGACTTGTTAAATAGCCCATGTTGGGTTCATTATGTCTTCCTTATGTAATACTTTCTACTCTACATCAAAACTTCAACATTTTATTTTTATAAAACTTTTTTCAACTGTTAAGAACCTGGCATGTCTTCAGGAGGTGCTCATAAAATATTCACCTATTCAAAAAATATTCTATAATAGACTAAGGAAGCATAAGACAGTCATCTCCAAGGAACTTGCAATTGAATGGAGAAAATAATGGATGTAAGACATGCTTGCTGTTACATGGAAGTACATGTAGGCAGTACCATCCGAGTACAGAGAAGAAGTAGACTTCTGACGGGCAAGAGCCTCGTAGTGTAAATTGAGGTTTACTGAAACGTTATTTCAGTCTACAGTGATAGGAGGAAGAATGTGAAGTTTTCCTTTTTCTCCCTATCCAACACTGCCTCCTAGTGGTGCCATGGCCCCTTTGCAGTGCCTCTCAATTCCTCCCAAGGGGGCATAGGGAGGGAAATGGAAACATCGCATCAACAAGTGGTTATAGAATCTGAATCGATTTGTGAACATCACTTTTAAGTTGAGCCATTGTAAGTGAAGCCTTCATTTCTTTTGTTCTTCCCTTCCAGGAAATCTGTGTTCTACCATAGAAGTGTCACCTACTATGGGTCCTGGCATTTTTATCACAGGGTGCACTGGGAGAAGCAAAGCACCCTCAAAAAAGGACATAAAAAGGAAAAGGAGACCTCTTCCACTGCCTTCATGGAAGGGCCAACTCCTGTTCCCAAGCTGCAATGAGAGAAGCCTCCTCGTGGAGACTGCTCAGGGGAAGAGGAAGGTCACAGTTCCCTGAGTTTGAGTCTGGGAACTGAAATATGGTCCCAAGAGCATTGAAATCTTGATGCATGTATCAAAAGACAAAAATGCTGTCAAGAGTGGAGCTGTTTTCTGTTTTGGAGGAAGTGATGGCTTAGGCACTCTTTGGGGGCAGGCTCTTACTTGCCCTGGAAAGACCCCCACGATAGGCCAAGTGACTGTTCAAGGACAAAGCTGAGGCTCTAGAATCATGTGAAAGGTTGTCAATGAAGCAGATGGAATTCCAGCTTTGAATACTTTCTGTTCCATCAACAAAACAAAAATGTTGACATTTTCTTTCTAAATATGTATGGGTTGGGACATTGTGTGCCTGAAAATGGTTATTTCTTTTTGTGGCACGTGAAGGTTTTATTGGAGAGGCACTAACAGGAGCCCAAAGCTGGAGCAGTCATCTTCACCAGAATTGCTGCCTCCAGGCCTCACTGAGGAAGTGTGGCTCAGAATGTAACTCACTGAGAGCAGGAATTTTGTTCCATGGATATACACTCCAGGGACTAGAACCTTACTGGGTTCATAGTAGGCATTTCAATGTTTGTCGAATGAACACATGAAGGAAAAGTGCTACCCGTTTCCCATGCAAACCAGTTCTGCCCTGGGACAACAGGGAAGGGTAGGTTTGGGAACAGAAGACAGAACCTTAGGCAGAGCAGTGCCTAGCTGAGTTGAATTTTCATGGTATTGGTGAAGTAGTCTGACAAGAAGGGCAAAAGGGAGGAATATGGAAAATCATATTCCTGGTCATCTGTGAGGGCCTGATGACACAGAAATGAACTAGGACACCTTGAAGTACAGCAGTGCTTCTATGTGGACAGGTGGGAATTTTGGTCATTTGGACACTAATGTAAATGTGGCCTCCACGGGCTCCCAAGCTGGGTGACCAGGTTAATTGGTCAGCATAACTAGCACAACCCAGCACTAGCCACTTCATGTGTCCTGAGCAGCTCTCTTCTGGTCTACTATTTCCATATTTTAAAATTGGAGTGCATAGACATTGGGTCTCATTTTTGAAGGAACATGCTGTAACTATAAATTATAATTTCTGGTCTTAGATTATCTCCACCATCAGCTTTCTTTTTACCTGTGATTATTGAAGGTAGAAATCTAAGAATAATGTCGCTGGCCCTCTTCACAAATTCACCCATTCTTCTATTACTTCTGCTCTCTTCATGGTGCTTATTCTGCTTCTCTCACAAAACGTGACTCGTAAGACTTTAGGTTATTATTAATATCCTTACTAACACCTCCTGCCACCTTTAACTTACTCTCACCCCAATGACACCCATGACAATTCACTTTCCTCAATATTTTTATTTTTTCAATGTTTATTTATTTTGAGAGAGAGGGTATGAGCAGGGGGAAGGGCAGAGAGAGAGGGAGAGAAAGAATCCTAAGCAGTCTCCTCACTGTCGGTGCAAAGCCTGATGTGGGGCTCAATCTCACGAACCGTGAGATCATGACCTGAGCCAAAACCAAGAGCTGGATGCTTAACTGACTGAGTCACCCAGACATCCCTTCCCTCGATATTTTTTAATCTTGCTTAGTCTACAATAATATCCTCCTTATTAGCCATTCTATCTCCACTCCGGTCCATCTTCAATGCTACTGCTGAAACCTTCTGAAGGTCCCCAGTCATATCTCCTTCTGCCCTCGGGTTTACCTCCTAAAAAAAAAAAAAAAAAAAAAAAAAAAAAAATCAAGAAATCCTGCAATGGATCCTTGGATACCAAAATATCATAAATTTCAGACCCCATACATTTCAGAATTTCTCTTTTCCTGCCACTAAAACTTTGAGCAGAATATTCTACACTTCTAGAATTAACTTACTTATCTCATATCGAGATATTTTTCATCTCTCAGTTACTCTTGAGAAAAAGAACCATATACTTTTAAGTATGCTTACCTCCTACTCACCCTTGATTGCACACACCAGGTGCATACAGTATCAAATCTATAATTCTATATTTTTTGAATACTACATGTTTAATCCATGAGAACCTCTTCAGAGTAGTATTTCCTTAAACAGAAGCTATTGATTGGCAAGGAGTGAGCCCTAAAACAAATAGGGTCAATTATGATACTTTTCAGATTCACTTGATGAATGCTGGACTAGTCAGAGCCCTTTCCTGAAATTTTTGAACATGGAACCAGAAATAACCCTCATTTTCTTTCAGGTGTGTTTCTCAATATTCATATGTTTAAGCCCTAACCTTCAACATGACTATTTGAAGAGAGGGTCCTTATAGAGGTAACTAAAATTAGATGAGATCATGATCAAGTAGGATTAATGTCCTTATAAAAGGAAAATACACCGAAGCTCTCTCCACACCACAGAGGAAAGGTCATGTGAGGATGCAGCAAGAAGCGAACCATCTGCAAGCCATGAAGAGAGCTCTCACCAGAAGCTGACTTGGTCAGCACCTTGACTCCTACCCTCCAGAATTGTGAGAAACTAATTTCTCTTGTTTAAGCCACCCAGTCTGGTATTTTGCTATTACATCCTGAACAGACTAACTGCAGGCGGTGAGACTGGAAAGTACGTGTTAACAGAAGACATGTTTCTGCCATAGTGAAGAATGGCTTCTGAAAGGATAAAGCTGAGACAAGAGACAGAGAGAGTCCTAAAAGCACACCTGTCCTCCAGTTATTTATACATAGAACAAAGATTAGAACATTAACAGAAGCATTCTTCTTTATTCTTTTTTGTACTTAGTATACATGAATTGGTTTCATATCAAGAAAATGTTTCTGGGGCACCTGGGTGCCTTAGTTGGTTGGGTATCTGATTCTTGATTTCAGCTCAGGTCATGATCCCAGGTTCATGGGATAGAGCCCCACATCAGGTTCCATGCTGAGTGTGGAGTCTGCTTAAGATTTTCTCTCCCTCTCTCTCTCTCAAAAAAAAAAAAAAAAATTTAAGAAAAATAAAGTGTTTCTGAAATGGTAATATAATACATTGTACTTATTAAGTGTTCTATACATATCCATTTTTTTCTTTCTCATCATGTTTAAAATCATCTATAATAAAAACAATTCTACCAGTTAAAAAGCTTGATTTGGAAAACAATGATCACAGATGTGTTATTTATGCTAGGCTGCTGCCATTTTGAGAAATGAGGCTAGGGTATCTTTTAAGACTTGAGAAATGAACTGATATTTAAAATTGCTTCTTGAGGGGCGCCTGGGTGGCGCAGTCGGTTAAGCGTCCGACTTCAGCCAGGTCATGATCTCGCGGTCCGGGAGTTCGAGCCCTGCGTCGGGCTCTGGGCTGATGGCTCAGGGCCTGGAGCTTGTTTCCGATTCTGTGTCTCCCTCTCTCTCTGCCCCTCCCCGGTTCATGCTGTGTCTCTCTCTGTCCCAAAAATAAATAAACATTGAAAAAAAATTTTTTTTAAATAAAATAAAATTGCTTCTTGAGAAATGTATCATTTTGTTTTGTTTTGTTTGTTTTTACATCTTTCAATCCTATGGAGGGATTTTGTTAGCTGCTTTTTGTCCAGATCTTTATTGATAAATACAGAGTTAAACAAAAAAGAGACTCCTAGTTTCTCATCTATGACAGGCATTTCTGGCCTGTTTTTTTCTAAACGTGTTACAGCTAAATTGGAAAGAACCCTTTAAAAAAAGTCATCCTGATAGTAGGATAGAATCAAAGTGGAAAAATTACTGTTGTATGTACGATGAAAGTTTTAGCTCAAGTGCATTAATTGAGGTAAAATGGTCTGGAGAGATGTAACAAGGCCAAGCAAGAACATCAGCCAAGAGAATATTTTTAGCAACTCCCCAGAAGGAAGATGATGGCCTCCTATAAGAGGTCAATAAAGATCTGACATAGTCTCAGAATTCAAGGAAAGAGCCCATCTTTGATAATATATTAATGACACATTTATAATTGGAAGCCAATACTCAAATCCAAATTTATTTACACACACACACATTATATTTGGGCATGAAGGCTACAAAAATGTAATATAAATTCTTCTTCCTCATGTAACATAGTCCATATATGCTTTGAAATTACCATTTTAATACAGAGCTCTCTACTTCCAAGCAATCTAATTGTAAACATGTAATCACTTTTTTCACTGGTATATTACACTAGGTCAAAAAATTGGAAACTGTCTTGTGCTTTGATCAGTTTTCTGCATTAATGAGATGAATCCTGCAAAATATCCTTGACTTGAAAAAGTTGCTTTAAACAAAACATAAGTAGCAGCTATGAAACTATAATTTCAATAGAGGTAGGCAATTGGAGTAGATACGTGGCTAGATTCATGGAAATCAGAAAAAAAAGAAAGGGAATAAAAAATTGCCTGTATGTAAGACACAGATCTATCAAACATAACATAATATTGAATCAGTAATGGAACAATGTTCAAAGACAATAAAGTCTGTGGGGGGGGATAAACCAGTAAAGTTTTCCTAAGTATTTTTCTTTCTTCTTTCCTCATGTAGGAAGTACCAAGGTAAGTAGCAGATGAAGAATTGTTTTTGGAATAAGACACATCTATATTTAAAGTCTAGTTCCAATGCAATTGCTGTGTGTTTGATCTCTCACTATTTCCTCAGTTTCTAATTCTTGGGATCAAACGTCCATGTGTTTGTTTATGTTTAAACTTCTCGTTAAGTTAGTTGTATGGCTATCAGATTGTATTGCATTTTATGAAACCAAAAAAGACCAATCTAGGGACTGTATGTAGGGACATGGCCATTTGTTGTGTTAGTCTCTGGAAAGAGATCACAATTGCTGCTTTCTCCATCTCCTATGTTCCAAAAACATTGGTCCTCTTTTTGCAATTCAACCATGCCAAGCAATTTCTTTTCCTTGGGATGCTTTTCTCCTGACATTTATCACACAGCTGGCTCCTTGTGTGTGTGTGTGTGTGTGTGTGTGTGTGTGTGTGTGTCAGTTCAAATGCTACTTCCTCTGAGGCCTTTCTAGCTTTCACTCCATCATTTTTCCTAAGACATCACACTGTTGATTCCTTTATGGCAGTTCCCACCATAGACAATTATCATGCTTATTAATTTATTTACTTGTCTATCTCCACTGACTAGAACAAAGTAGGCTTTCAATAAGCAATTGATGGCTGGATAGATGGATGGAGAGATGGATAGATGGATGGATGGATGGATGGATGGATGGATGGATGGATAGATGAGGAAGGACACAGTCTGATAAAGATCCTCCTCCTCTGTCCATAATCTGACCACTTCTGATTACCTGTATGACTAACACCTACTCATTGTCTCCAATATTTCCCTCCTGGGTGATTACAGTGGGCTTCTTAATGGATCAGTCTGCTTCTACCCCTGGGTCCTACTTCAACACAACAGTCAAGCTAATCCCTTTTATAATATATGTACATCTGTATTCTATAAAAACAAAACAAAACAAAACAGGGGCACCTGGGTTGCTCAGTCAGTGGGGCAACTGACTCTTGATTTTGGCTCAGGTCATGATCTTAGAGTCCTCAGATCAGGCTCCACGCTGAGCATGGAAACTGCTTGGAATTATCTCTCTCTCCTCTCTCTTTGTCCCCTCCCGTCAAATAAACAAATAAATAAACTTAAAAAAAAAAACCACACAAAACAAAACCTGCAGTGGTTTCCCACATCCCTCAGAGTAAAAGTCAAAGTCCTTATAACAGCCTACAAGTTCCTTCTTAGTGTGGTCTCTCCTTACCTCTCTGACTTCCCCTTCACTCTTAGTGATAACTGCTATTGCCTTCCTGTTCCTTGAACATGCCAGGCACTTTAGGGCATTTGCTCTAGACTGTTCCCTCTTCCTATAATGCCTTTTCCTCATATATCTGTGACTAACTCCTTCACCTTCTAGTCTCTATTTAAATATGACCTTCCCATTGAAGTCTATCCTCACACCTTATTTTCTGCTGCAACCAATCACCCCAACCTCATGCCAGCTCTCCCTGTTGGTCTTGTTTTCCATAGAACTTACTGCCTTCTAACATATTATACAATTTATTTTTATATTTTATTAACTGTCTTCCCTGCTACCTCTCACTATAATGTAAACTCAGTTCATCCATGATTCCCAGGTACATACAACAGTGTCTGGCACATAGTAGGCACTCAATATCTGTTAAGTTGAATTATTAGTCTCAGTGCATACAAGTCCTGATGAACGGATTACAAAATGTTGCTCTCTGGGTGGATGCATCCAGGACCCAGGAAGAGGGAGTCCAAGTTAGATGCCTAGAGAATTGCCAGCTTTGGGGAACTTGTGCAAAACTCTCAAACAGCAGGAATGGGTCTGCAAACTCTAAACCAAACTGCCTATAGCAGCAGCATCATTCTTGTATTCTCTACATCTACTTGCATTTGTGTTCCCTAAGGAAATCTTTTTGAAACATTCCTGTCTGCTGTAAGACACCAGTAATGGCCACCATTTATTAATCCTCTAAGTACTGTTCAGGGTAAATGGTAGAGTTTACCATTGGATGGTTCCAGTGGTTCCACTGGATGACACAATAGGTGGGAAAGTCAGGGAACCCTGCTTTGGTTGGCTCCTGGCTGCGAAGCCTACGTGAACTAATATAAGCAAAACGGGAAAAGATATTTGCCAATGGAAGCCTAAGTACAGGCACCGATGTGCGTCACATCAGAAATTAGAGCCACGAACGGAAGGTTCCTACAGTGTTGACTTTGTTCTTTTAAAAAAACAAGCTAGAAGCGCGTCCCCGTCACTCCGAGCAGAGTCCCGGCGGGAGCCTCGGACCGGACCGCCAGGCCCTGTTGCCGGAGCAGCCGGCCGCCTACCACCTGGAGGCCCGCCCGGGGGACTTCGCCCGCACAGCCACAGGACCGTCGCCGCCGCGCCCCCGCCGCCGCCCTACACCCACCCGGTCACAAGGATACCTACCCGCCGTCCCAGGGTCTACGTTTCTATCCACCGTCGAAATGTCACCAGGTACCCTGCCCATTCCATTGTCGTTGGAGGCCACCCCAGTCTGCAGAGTCGGGTTTGGGAGGACTTCTTCACCTTCCTGGCCATCTTCCTGGGCATCATTTTGTTCCCATTTGGGTTCGTCTGCTGTTCTGCCTCCAGGAAGCAAAGATACTCCAAAGGCGGAGCAAACCTTACTTTAAAGGGAACGATACACCTGACTTTCCTACATCCTGACATCTTTTCGTAATGTAAATGTGTACAACAGCTTTGTTTGATTAAACTTTCAGGATTGTTTTGTAAAGTGAGGTGGGATAGATCTGGCTAGTGTGAGCTGAGGTTTCGTGAGCACAGGAGTCATAGCCGTGGACACGCAGCAACACTGCTCCCAGGGTAAATGACAACCCAATAAAACACTGCTTTTATTTTTTGCAGTGTTCAATTTGAGAAAGGTGAGAAATAACGTTTTAAATAAACGAGATTCATACCATTGTGAAACACACACACACACACACACACACACACACACACACACACAACAAAACCACACCCTGGGGAAAGACTCTTAGTTGCTAACTTAATACCTGGTCTCCTCTCCTTACTATATAGAACTCCAATTTTACTTGGCCATCTTCCCAGCGAAGACATTTCTTGGCCTCTTTGAATCCAGGCATGAACATGGGACAAAGTTCTGGCCAAAGACATCTAAGCTGAGGTCTTTGGAGCTTCTAAAGCTCTTTAAAGAGTGCTCACTTATTTGGCATGTTCTCTTTCACCAATCTTTCTTCCTGTGGAAAACAAAGAAAATGGCTGGAGCTTCAGGAGTCACCTTACAAGAAAGAAAACCACACACTGAGGAGAGCTGAATGACAGCTACACTTAGGATGTGGGTGAAATTGTGAGCCTGCCCTACCAGCCCTGACCAGCCATAGACCCTGCTTTGTGTCAAGTTGATATGAATATGAGATGAAAAGATACATTTCCTTTTCTCAGAGAGCCAACAAGAGAAGCAGCTAACATTGCACACTTGGTATGTACCAGAAACCATTCTTTGTACTTTACATGCATTAGAATAACCATGTGCATTAAGTATTTATACAGATGAGGATACACATCTAGCAAGGTTAGCTATTCATGGTAATCCAAGACTTGAAGCTGGATCTTCTATCATGTGTGTGATTAACTACAATGCTCTACTGGTTTCCAGTCTTATCAATTATAATTCAAATCTGAACTCAAATTCAAAGGGATAAAAGTCTTGATAAAGAGGAGTACAGGGAACATAGGGGACAGAGGGGAGAATGTCAAAGTTTCCAGCAGAATCTTGGGACTTAACAGGGTGTCAAAAATGAGTATGCATGGGGCACCTGGGTGGCTTAGCTGGTTGTGTCCAACTTGGGCTCAGGTCATGATCTCACGGTTTGTGATTTGCAGCCCCACATTGCCTTCTCTGCTGTCGGCACGAAGCTCATTTTGGATCCTTTGTCCCCTCTCTCTCAAAAATAGTTTTTAGGGGCGCCTGGGTGGTGCAGTCGGTTAAGCGTCCGACTTCAGCCAGGTCACCATCTCACGGTCCATGAGTTCGAGCTCCGCTTCAGGCTCTGGGCTGATGGCTCAGAGCCTGGAGCCTGTTTCCGATTCTGTGTCTCCCTCTCTCTCTGCCCCTCGCCCGTTCATGCTCTGTCTCTCTCTGTCCCAAAAATAAAATAAATGTTGAAAAAAAAATTAAAAAAAAAAAGTTTTTAAAAGTGAGTATGCATTCACCAAGAAGCAGAGCAATATGAGATGTGATGAGAGTGCTTAGTTTGGATCTCAAATATGAAGACAGATGTTAAATAGGTAGATTTTCAATTATAACAATCAATGTGAAATGGACAACGGACTTAGAGGCTGTACTGATCGCTCTTCCAAGAAACTTGACTGTACAGGTGAAATGGAAATAGGGTATTCATGTTTGTAAAGTATTCATATATACACTGCTATTAACAGTGTATTGAAGCTATCCCAGTCAACATTTAATCAAACACGGAAGATAAAGTATACTGGAAAGTCCATGAACTTTAAGAATCAGGTAAAACTAGGGAGGGGAAGGAAGAAAAAAAAAAAAAGAGGCTAGAGTGGGAGAGAGCCAAAGCATAAGAGACTGTTGAGAACTGAGAGCAAACTGAGGGTTGATGGGGGGTGGGAGGGAGGAGAGGGTGGGTGATGGGTATTGAGGAGGGCACCTTTTGGGATGAGCACTGGGTGTTGTATGGAAACCAATTTGACAATAAATTTCATATATAAAAAAAAAAAAAAGAATCAGGTAAAACTGGATTTGAAACCTTGTGCTGTCATTTATTTGTAGCTTTGTGTAAATTGCATGCCTTCTGTGAGCTTGTTTCATCTGTAAATAATTCAACTTCATATAGAACAGCTACAGACTACAAATGTGATTTTGAGCATTAATATGAATTATAACAAAATTTCACTTAAATATATCTCAAATGGTCTTTATTAATGGAATAACATCACGGAATTTCTATTTAGTAACAGATACTAATCTCAAAGAGATACTGTATGGTAAAGATTAAAAAGGAGATTGGAATGAAGGTTTTGTTTCCTGATGGCCACATTTCAACACTTCTAACGGACTCTGTTCATGGGACTTTTGGATAGGTCTTGCAATCTATCAGTAACTGTTAACAGATCTCTCACTAAATTGTTAAGTATAGCAGACATTTTCACTAAATTCTGTCCAGCAACCTCTATTCTGGGATCTTGCCCCTCAACCCCTCCCCATCTCCACTGCTAGTTACAATGCAGATTTTTAAAGTGAAGGGCAAATATTTAAACTTAGCATCAATTTAAAGAATTTTTCAAGTATCTTAAGCATTCAACCTTTTACTTTATCCCATCTTGCCATGGTAACATAGCCCAAACATAACATTTTCACATGGAAACTGTTTTATAAATTGTGTTATGTCAGAAATAGTAAAGCACCTCTCAATATTGAGATGAAGGCTATCAGAGGATATCAGGCTGTTTTTCTTTTTACTACAAAACAGTATCTTTCATATTGTGTCATAAAAGCATTTCAAATCACTTTATGAAATTTGTAATGGAAGTTAAATTCTCCTCTGTAAAATGCTGACAGATATAGCTTGTTTCAAAATATCAGTGATTGCTTTTTAGCTCCAAATCATCAAATTGGACCAAACTCCAGCCCAACTTAACTTTCTCAACATTTAGAAATGTCTGATATTTATTCCACTCCCTTCCAAAGCAGTATTCTCTGCTGTTATTAGTAATAAGATGCTGTCAGAAGTTGGGAAGATCCCTGTATTTAGTGCCAGGTTAGATGTGGCTACCAAGATCCTTTCAAACCTTCAAGATTCAAGGCTGAGACATCTTTTATTAGGTACCTTTTGAGATAGATTTATACTTTAAGCCTCAATGTTTCCACATGAAGACTTCGATTGGCTATTTCAGATTTGACTCATTTTTTCTACATATACTTTTCTCAATTTTATGCAAAAATTGAAGTTTATAAAACCATTACTCATGGATTTCCCCTAGACTGAATTGCACCTAGACTAGTGTTACAAATGTACACCTAGTAGAGGTAACAAAGTATGACTCCTTAAGTTCCCCTAGAAGATAGCTTTTAGAAATGAATTAAGTGTTTTAAGAGAAGTTACACTTTATGTTATGGATTATAGTAACATAATAGAAGCCCATCGTTAGTGTAAAAGAACAAGTCGTAAATTATTTTATAGTTTCTCTACTGAAGCCTAACTCTAAGCTGTGGAATAAATCCGATATTTGGACATATGCTAACATAGCTGAGAGAAAAAAAGAAACTCAAACCCCAGGAACCAAAAAATGACCTGTGTCTACTAACCCCAGGTTCTAGCATACCCTAAGAGACAGTACAGCAGGGAGGGGAGGGATTCGAAGGAATATGCTTTCAAGTGTTACATTCATTCACAGCTGAAAACCATCCACGGTATAATTCTGAGCTGTTCTATTACATAATTTATTTATAAAAATAAAATTTCACCAGTATCACAATGGTATTTTATACAACCCTAGTGACTAAAGAACCATTTTTTTGCTCCCTACCTAAGAGTTACAAGGCTGATCAAACACTGAAATTATTGGTATAATGTATCCTAAAGTGATAAAATAAGACAAAGCATGGTAAAGACTGCTTTATTGGTGGCAGTTAGTAGAAGTCAATAAATATTGTTCCCCGAAGAACTCAGTTATGTATCAATTATTGGTCCAGAGAGAGCTGAATGAAACTGAACCAACTGCCTGCTGAGATGATAAACTGAAGTCAGTCTTGCTTCTTGGGAAATGAAGCCATAGCTAGCTGATATATGGCATACGCTGTTCCTGAAAAAAAAACAAAAAAAGAACTTAAAAGAAATTCTGACATTTACATGTATAGACATAATATTCCAGCTAAAAGTTAACAGAAAGGGAAGTTTGGCATTAAGACTACTTTTATGGAAACACAGAAAAGTATTTTGATAGGTGCTGGTAAAATTTAAAATAACTTCAAAGGAAAGTATTAGATAGAACACAATAATTTATTTGTCAAATTGACAACATGTAAAAAGTTTTTAAATAAGAGTAAGAACATATATAAAAGTTATTTCCATACTAAACTAAGATGGTCTGAAAAATGCTAAGAATGATTCAAAAACCAAAAAAAGAGGTCAAGATATACAAGCACTCCCTAAAGTATATTATTAGTATTAAACCAAGAAGAATGATACATCATTTTTTAAATTATCAAATTTGATGTAAGAATAGCCAATAAGTGAATATTTTTAAAAACTAATTACCAAAGAAACAGTCACACTGACCAAAAGAATTTAGGACTCTAACGGTCACTATCTGATTGTTGTCTTCATCATAAATGCCTCTTCACTGTACTCAACCCAAGGCAAAGAAAGCACCTTGGTATCAGCCTGGGGACTTTGTAATTAGGGTTGAAATTCCAGCTTTTCCACACAGAAGCAATATTACCTTGGGTAATTAACATAATTTCTTCGTCTTTAAAATGAGGACACATTACAGACTTAATAAAAAAGGTTACAGAAATCCATTTATGGGCACTTCTATCAATAAGATGAGCACACAGTAATCAAATAGTTCCCTTCCTCCCCCAGAGAGCAATCATTTAAAATCTTAACTCTGCTCCTAGCCTACCAATTTGTAATATTACATTGCTAATACTGAACAATGGACCTGCCTAATCCACAGAAAAATCTATCAAAGCACTTTGTGTACAGTAATAGGTACTGTTCTTTCCATAGAGGTTTTGTTTCTGTCATAAACATGTATGTTCAGAGTTTAGATGTAAAGTGTGTTTTTATTATGTATCACAGTAAAAATGTTTAAAAAGCCCCTGTTATAGGAGATGGTGTAGAGAGATGTGTAAGGCCACCAGTAGCACACTCTGAAAGCCACCTCTATCATAAATACTCCTATCAAACTTTAT